AAACATACGTTTTGACTGTTTAGCCAAGTGTATGACCATGGTTTTATTTGTGAGACCAATAGATTTTGGTGAACGTAAACCCGTAAGCATTTCAAATATTGACATATATTTCAATTCAATACCATTTATATACACATTATAATTGATTACTTGTAAACTTATGGTTCAAATTGTAAATAATATAAATGCATAATTAAAATGATGCGGAAGTTTATAGAAATACCCGAAATCTCCGAGTATTATATGAATGAATTCATTGTCACCACTAATCGTAACAATTAATACCTTTATTATAAGAAATACATTAAGAATAATGAATACAAACAATGGATTATTAAACCATTTTCTATGGTTTCGAGACTCATATGATGTAAAACTCAAACCAATATTATATGAAATATTATTAAAGTTATTGATAACTAAATGACCAGGCAATAATTTCTTACAATAAACCACATCCATCGTGACTGGGCTTCAAAACAATGCTACGAAAATGACTAATTCTACTTTATTTCTATACATATAAGTTATACAATATAACTAATAAATACAAAAATCTAGGTCTGAGAAGTTTTAACCTAAATAAATATTATTGTACTGTAAATATAATTATATGTATAAATATCATAAACAATTGAATAATAAAGATATATTTAACTATCATCGTATTTTTAATGAGAAATGCTATTTACGCACGTAATCTAACAAAATAAACAAGTTCATTAAGGCAAGGACAATAAAAATAAGTAGATTTAAATTATTGATTTAATTAAGGTAATAAGAATACTTACATACTTACAAGTTAATATATTATAGTATACTATACAATAGCATACTTTACAAACTTTATATTCTTTATAATAACATTGTTTTATTTAAGCTAATATTTTTAATATTATTTATGTATAATTTATAGCTAACCATGATTAAGATTTTAATTTTATTAAAATTACAGTTAATTTTATTTAATTAAACGTAATGTTAAATAAATATATTTGATTTGGTATTAGGTTTTTATTATAATTATTTCATAACTTTTTGACAATTATTTGTTAATGATTTAACAGTTACTTAATATAAATGTATTTTACATATAATTTATAAAGTAATTCAATAATCGTTATTTAATGTAATAAATAACGTTTTTTCTCACAGAAAACAATGTATTAATCGGTAATTAAATTAAATAATAAAATTGTGATAAACTTTTGCCGCAAAGAGTTTGAATGGCTTTGCATTGAATGCATTGAATGGATGTTTGCATTCATTCATACATTAATAACGTTTGGGTTTTGGAGTTATTTTTGGCGATGCATTAGCTGTTCCAGCGGTGACTCCTTTTTGACATATCAAAAGTCTAACCCTTTTATTGTTATTAACGCTCGTCTCTTGAGATGGTGTCGATTGTATGGCAAGTGATGTCTGCTTTGAAACCAATGAT